CGCGTCTACTGGCCATTCATGAGGGCAGATATCACTCACTATTTCACAAACGTATGCCAGTGTTTGAAACAGCGGAAACCAGCAGTCCATGTTAATACTCCACTTCAGCCTATCATCTCTACTGGGCCCTTTTAGCGTGTCTCTATGGACTTTGTTCACCTAGAACCAAGCTCTGGTGGATACACATATATACTTTTGATCATGGACTAGTACACAAGATTTGCACAAGCATACGCTACGCGTGACAAGTCTGCCAAAACGTCTGCTGATAAGCTGTTCAATGATTTCATCATGAGGTTTGGATTCCCGGAGACTATTCATGCATCATGACCAAGGAGGAGAATTTGAAAACAAGCTTTTCTACAACCTGGAGAAACTGAGTGGAGTCAGACACTCAAGAACGACGCCGTATCACCCACAGGGCAACGGTCAGGTGGAGAGGTTCAATCGAACACTTCTATCCATGCTCCGAGCGTTACCTGAGAAACAGAAATCACGTTGGCGCGACCATCTCCATAAGGTAGTCCATGCTTACAACTGCACCCGGAACGACTCCACCGGATTTTCACCATTCTACCATGTTTGGCCTTAAGCCTCCAGAAGGCTATTCTACATACCCCGAATATGTTAAGAGATGGAGAGGAGCGATGACAGAAGCCTATGAACTGGCGTCTACTCATTCACGGAAGAGTGCAGAACTCGGTAAAGTACAATACTACAAGAGAGTTAGGCATACTACACTGTACGAAGGAGATCGCGTACTTGTAAGGAATCTGTCGGACCGGGTTGGACCGGGAAAGTTACGCCCCTATTGGGAACAGGAAATCTATGTCGTGACACAGAAAAGAAAGGACATGCCAGTGTACGAGGTCAGGCCAGAGAGTAGAGGTGGAAGGTCCAGAGTTCTTCACCGCATCCTCTTACTACCATGCTCTTACTTACCTGTTGAAGCTCCGATCAGTACAAGCAAAAGAACACAGAAAGGCCCTAGAAAAGTTACCAAACGGCAGCCTTCCACTGAAGGAACATCCAGCAATGCTGACGACGACATGCCGAACTTAATACCTCATCAATTTGAGGAACATTTTTAGTCTGCAGGTGCCAATGTTAGTTAAGGATATGAACATGCAGCGGTGCCAGCAGAACAGGACGCTGATCCTTTTTATGCTGATAACCAGACCAGGAGAAGGGGACCGAAGATAGCTGTGAACAGGTGGCTACTTTAAATGATGACCCTGATGCTGTGGATGAGGGACTCCCGACGCATTCACAACGAACGTACAGACCCCCACTTTTATGACTTATTATGTACCAGGACAGCCGTCCGTGGACCTACTGCGGATATTGCAGATATTGCCACCCTATAGAGTATCCTGGATGTTGCAGCCTGTGTGGAAACCCTGTTGTCAATGTTTTGTCTACATGTACCTTCCTGTGCAGTTTGGGCCGATGGCTCATGTACCTTACTGTTATTAACGAGTCTAGGAAAATTGGCTGTACCTGTGAACCTACAAGACCTTTAGCCACGTTATCTATTTATTATTTTTTCAGGACTTAAAAGTGTTTGTTGTCAGTTAAGTCAACTGCTTTGGCCTAGTTTCCAAAACAATACTTTCAACAGTTGTATGTCACTCATTATACATAGCCGTGTTTTTTTCGGAAAGCTCCTTGAATCGAGTTATATGCGATGATGTGCGATGATACTGCTTCAGAAGAGAAAGACTGGAGTAAACCTATTTATTGTTCTGGCCTGATCACCCAGACCAATTAGGTTAATTACGTTTAATGCAAGGAACTGATATTGTGATAGCATACGTTTCTGTACGATGTTGAGGACAGCAGTTTCTTTTAGAGGGGAAGAATGTAGAGGACTAAGTAGAGAGGACTGGAATGGACTGGGCCCGAGCCCTGAATCGTGGGATGATGCAATCGAATGTAATCTGAACGACTGAGTGTCTAGTGCAGTATAGATATTGAGTCTTACAGATTATTTGTCGTTTAGCTGTTGTCTTTGACCCGGATTGGGCTAACATGTACAAAGTGTTTTTCTTCCAATGGAAATAATAATACTTGAATTCATTTTCCTAATGATAAGATGAAGGCTGAAGAGCTAGGACATTAATCATTTTTAATAATATGTATATGAGGCAAAGATTTACTCGAGAACATGAAGATGATTTTTTCCTTTTTTTACATTTGTTAGCAAAATGGTTCATTCTTGCACATTACCATACTTAGGATGTTAATATCAATGTCAATCATGAGTCATGTTTTTATCAGTCATGTGATCTGTTATATAAAAGTTTACATCACTCCAATTAGAATTGGCTGGTATATACCCCGTTGGTTATAGTCATCAGACATTGTCTAACATAATGTCCAAATGAATTCTACACAACAGCTGCCTCAGTAGGTTATAGGAGTCTATATTTCTAACAACAACAACACAAAAAAAACCTGACTATATTAAAGTTACAACTGGAACATGTCTCTTGTAAGAATAAGGTATCAACTTGAATTCTGGTGTTTTGAATGCAAATTCTGTTTAGATAAAAATGCAACTAAACACAGTTAGAGTAGAATGACTGTGAATGAAGTCAGACTACATTACGGGAAAATGTTTTCTTGCTCTGGAAACGTATGCGATGTGAACATGAACAAAATAACGGTTTCAACTCAACATGTACTCATAAGCACGATATGGTAACTCCTGTGCATGGCTATCCTAAAATTTGCCATAGCCTTCAGCTCCATATTTAAGGCTAGTTAGACAGGCATTCTTAAAATCTGTATATGAAGCATGGCAAGTAGGCAAATATACTTTATGGAAGCAAGACTCTGATTCTAGGAGTGGTCCTTTAACAAAAGAGACCTTCCAAACCAACAACGAAAGATTTTTGTCGGCCCTGTAATAGGGCTCCCCTTTAAATTAGAGTACCCCATGCCCTGCATAACCTTAACGATGGAAAGAAATGAAGGAAAAAGGTAACTCTCGGGTCATGTTTTAACACCATCACAAGCCTACTCATTCTGGTATGGTTTGAAGGATCTCTTCACCCTGCACAAGTTAGTTGAGAAAGTTGTCCTTGACCATTAAAACTGACGACGTCACAAGTGGTAGAAGGGACGTGGATCATCATGGGCAGTTACAGGCGGTTCAGGGGCGAAAGGGTTAATAATTACCAGGCACGTTGTGGCTTTCAATATGTCGAGCAACCTTCAAGCAAGTGAAAAAATTATAGTCCAATTTAAGCTTAATAAACTCTGTATGCTTAAATAGTCTGACGCAGAGCGCAGATCACTGGCTTAAAATACGCACTTTCACGTTCTGTTTTCGATTTAAAAAGAATCCAAATAGTGCTTAAAAAAATCATCAAATTATTAATAAAGGAATACAAAATGCTTATCTCGTCTTTTACAAGTTGTTTAAGATTGGCGTCCATCTTGCCAGTCTCTTCGAGCACATGGTCGATGCTCAGTAGCCAAGTCCCCTATCCTAATACGGAAGATAGGTCACGTGCATCATCGAATACATTTTGCTCGAATCATCGAATGAATATTGCTTGAATTATCGAGTGAATTCTTCTCGAATCATCGAATGAATATTGCTTGAATTATCGAATGGATTTTGTTCAAATCATCGAATGAATATTTCTTGAATTATCAAATGAATTTTGTTCCAATCATTGAATGAATATTGCTAAAATAATCAAATGAATATTGCTTAAATTGTTTCATAAATGTAGGAGAGAATCGAATGCATATCAAGGAGAATTTATCGAATTTTGCTACAAGTTTATCGAATGTATTGAACAAAATCAAATATATTTGAATTTTATAGTCTATATGAGGACATTTTCAAACTCATATACGCGACATCGAATATTGACACATTTCGGCAACTATAGTCGTCTACTTACGTATCTAATTTAAACAGAATTTATTAACAGCAAAAGCGGGCTGTGCGAGCTATTACAAATTCAGAATATCGAGCACATACTGCTCCTCTATTTTCCAAATTGGAAATTTTAGATATTTTCCAAGTCAATACGCTGGATACTGCTTAATTTATGTTTCGCTACCACAATAATCTGCTGCCTCCACTCTTCCTTAATCTATTTATGACAAACAGACGAGTCCATAGATATGACACAAGAACAGCCAGTAATTATCGAGCGCATTCCTGTCGTACGAACATTAAGAAATTCACAATTCCTTACCAAGGACCTAGAATCTGGAACTGTCTTCCCGCATCCATTACAAACTTGTCAAGCTTTTCTATCTTAAGAACAAAGGGCTAGAATTTTTATTAAAATGGTTACTGAATTAGTTTAGCCGCACTCCTTCGCAGCCCTTATTTCTTATAGTATAAAACAGACCGAAAGAGCCGAACAGCTACAGCGCAATGGGAATTTCACCGAAGCTACGGCCGCAGAAATAAACCACGATCTTATCTGTGAGTTCATGCATTGAAGTGAGCGCAGTGTATCTATTTTGTTATAAACCTAACTTCACAGTATTAAAATCCTGTATAATATTGTCTAGATCTTCGATAATGGTTTTTTGTTTTGGTAGACATTTATTCTCTCACGTAAGTTTACAAGAAGATTTGCATACACTTAGCACACACTGCATGCAAATTAAGCTTATTTTATAGACACGCTTTCAGTTTCCGCACTGGGTTATGAAAAACATTGAAAAACAGGGGTTTTACCTCGGTGTGAGAACCGACGTGTGAACTTTTCCTTTGTTTCGCACCTTTTGTTTTTCTACGTTCTATTGTGTTGACTTCTTTATTTCCCCACCGAGTATGACCGAAAAAAGGCTTTTTCGAAGCGCGAAAATCACTCTTACTACAAATAACGCTTTCTGATTGGTCGAATCTCGTGACGCACCTGTTTTATTATTCGCACAAAACAACCTGGATATTTGGTTACAGGGTTCACTTTGGCAGCGTAGCGAGAAACGGCGTTGCATAAAACTATTTGTCCCTGTTCATCATGTCAGACTTTTTAAGCGAATGCGAAATAGTCGACTTGACGGAGGAGCTTAAAAAAGAAATCGAAGAGTCTGGCGTATCAAATATTGAAGAGTTCTTCCGAAAGAGTCTGGAGAATTGGCGGGGCGCCGAAGTGAACATCGCCATCACTGGTGAATCGGGATGTGGAAAATCAAGCTTTATCAACGCCATGCGAGAGTAAGTGCACTTAACCAAATCTATCGGACCTCTTAAGTCAGCCTTTTGTATGTATCGGCACCGATGAATCTTTTCATACTGTGTTCCGTTTTAAAAGGTCTTAAACTTTTGTTAGTCATAGCCATGCACTTAACAAATAAGATTTAGGGACTCGCTCTGGAAGTATGTTTGGTTTGACTCAAGAGAACCGATAGACCAACTTTTCAAATAGATGAGAGTTGTTTCTCTCCAAAATTCAGCACAGCAAAGTACCAGTTTCCATCATAAGCGTTTTCCGGGTTGACCCTGTTTATTGGTTTCACTATCTCTTTCAAGCCGGAACCGAACAAAACCGAAAGTGTTGCTAAGGAAGTTTCATCACAGGCGAAAAAAGTGAGCTCGCAGATGTTTTCATAGAGGATTCGACAGCGGCACTTTATAGCAGAGTTTTAGCAAATTTGGCCACATTCGTCAGTTCTTAGCATGTCTTTGTTGTGAGTTTAAGGTTCATCTAATGTCCATGTGGTAAACAAGTGAATGTAAGCTTCCGAAGCAGGTGGAACAATGTTGGTTCGATTCGATTTGTGCTACCCTGCGACGAAACTAAACTACGGTTTGAACATAAACTCACGGAGGTAAAAAATTACATCTGCGACGACGGTCTAACGCAGAAAGAAGGACTTTTAGACCTCGGTTGTTGCCTAGTATCACCCAACCAAAACATGCTAATAATAATCGTTTCTTTCCTTCAGCCCATAAGTCGCCTCTGAGAAGGTAGTCTCTCAGGTTGACTCAGTAACTAGCGGCAAATAGCTGCTAGTTGCTCTAGTCTCTTCTTACAGTTCTCTTTTCGCGAACAAGGGAAAGAAGACTGCTTTCTTAGAGGCTGGTCTCCAAATAGACATATGCCCCATTTACACCAACTAAACATGTTTAATTAAGCTAGGTTTAAAGAAATGGAAATCAGTAGCAGAAAGCTACAACACAGTCTTTTACACAGAATTCAAATCAACTTACAACGGAATCCATCAGGACTAACAACGGGGAAATTTTAATTTTCAGAGGACAAAAACCCTTTTACCAGAACATTTTGATCCATATAGCATTTTTTTTAACACTTTTCAAGGGCTATAGATATAACTAGGGTATCTAAAAGATAGTAATGCTGCGGCACATTCTGTTGATACTGGCATTAGTTAGGCAGTGGGACTTAAAAGAATCGAAAATGACATTGAATGTCCTATTAACATGTTGGAAAGTACTAGAATAATTACTATCAGTCTATAGAAAGAACTTGTGGGAACGTTGTTTAGAAAATGATCAAGTAGTTATCAACTCTGGTTTTCCCACAGTAAATTGTAGGAAATGATAGAAATTCAGATTGTTTATCCATATACCTTAAAATTCCGACAATAAGCCCCGGGGCTTATATTTTTCAAAGGCCCTTTTTGAGGGGCTTATTTTTGGAGGGGCTTATATTCGGAGGGGCTTATCTAAGGAGGGAAATTTGCGTTTCAAAATCGATAGGGCTAGCCTTACAGTTGGAAGTAAATTTATTGTTTTTCCTTTGTTTTACTTTGTATTTGAGGGCAATTTTCCAAGTACAAGCCCCCGGGGGGCTTATATTTGGAGGGGCGATTTAACGGTGGGTTTTTTGCGTTACCGGTTTGGGGGGCTTATATTTGGAGGGGCTTATTTTCGGAATTTTACGGTATTTAATATACGGTGTACTATCTTTTCTCTGGAAACACGATACTTTTCTTGCTGTTTATTGCACTTTATTAAGTAACAGTTATTTAGCTATACATTTATAGAAAACGACAACACAAAAAACGAAAAAAAAAAAAAAAAAAAAAAGAAAAAAGAAAGAAGGGAAAGAGAACTTGTTAGGACCCGAACCCGGCACCATCGGCTCGTTGCGACTACACCTAACCACTACACCACAGAGACTGCCTGCGTATTATCGGGAAAAGTCTTTAATTTAATGCATTTTCCATGAAACTTCCGCCGGCAAGATGATCGCCAGCCGCATTAATCGAGCTATTAACAGCAAAACAATGTAAACGCATATTCCATGGCAATGAATGAAAGAAAGAACATAATTATACCTTTCAAAACGCCGATACACGTCCTCGTCTGCAACGTAGGAGACAAAACATATGTTTTGTTATCTCGATTTCCGCTGTTATTTTGAAGCGAATGGTCAAAATCACATCCATTTTCGGCTCATACAGGTTCTTAAGAATAGCATGGCATGACATTTTCTCACTTTCACATCACCTTCTAGCAAGCTGAAATTTGTATATCCCCCGTGTTGGGGAGTCGAAGAGCAAATGCTCATCTCGTCAGGTTTAACACCTGGACGAGTCAAAGGCTCTTGAATTGAAATCCAATCCCAAGCTTAACCATCGAACTCATCTGAAAGACTCCTGCGTGTCTTAAATTTGGTAAGACCTCTAACCGTGCTGTAGAAAATTTGCTACAAAGATAACTCTGAGTCAGGGCAGCGAACGATGCGATTATTTGAGTTGTTCGTGGCGCAATGCACTCTGGTTAAATGCAATGCATTGTGTTAAAAAGTGTGGTTAAATGCAATGCATTGTGGTAAAAAGTGATGAATTCGAGAATTCGTCGCCCCTTTGTATATTTCCTTTAAATCCTGATTATGTTGCTGCTCGCTCCCTACCGTGTCGCTCCGCAGCAATTATTAGTAAAGGACTGTGTCCCGATTATGCGCACGCGCGAGCGTCATCTGTTATTCTCTCAGTTCATGGGACAATAGAACTGTCATATTGACTCGACAAGATTTCCTTCCGGACTGCACCGCCGACGGAGATTTGTTGTTTAGATTCGTGATATTTTAGGCTTTCGAAGAAGTCTTTCGTGTTATTTAAAATTTGGCTCGCGGCACGAAGACTCATCGCGATTTTATCGCTAGCAGGGCCGCCTCGCGACCCGAAAATCTCGTTCAGCTCGCTTTAAAAACAGCTTCTCGTGTCAGAGGTCAGTTGTTCCAAGTCCAGTAATAGGGAACTTAAGAACCACGACGACGAGAGGAAGTGAGTTACAGTGTACTGCGCAAGCGCAACCGGTAAATTTCGTCGTCGTGGTGTCGTCAACGACGCCAAACAAAGTAGAATCACGTCGTCCTGCAATCCACAAGCTTGGGCAAGTATAAATCCAGGATTTCAAGCGATTTTTGAAGTACTTGGCATTTTCTTATCCTCGTAAATCCAGGTATCGTTCCTTTTTTCTCCTAACAAGCGATGTTGATTGAAAATTCGACTAATGAGTTGTTTTTACTTCGAAGAATGACAACAGCTGTGGAGATCGAGCGAGCGAACTCGTAAGTGATAAATTTATTTGTACGTATTTAGGTAAGGCAAATCATATACTGTATCTTTAATATAGAGGAAACAAACTTTATATGGAAAACAGCTATCACATCAGAATGCCTCTTTTTCCAAATATAAACTCTGACAGACACTCGGACTCGGTTATCTCATTCAGGTTGAAAGTTGAATTATCCTCGTACGGAAAGCAGGTGTTTTTCCACTCGAAAAGGTCAGGCAACACAAAAAATTCTTCATCGTCAATGAAATTAGACCTACGGCTTAAAAAATAAGATCTTGCATTGTTTTAAAAGACGCCATTGAGAAAAACTTTGATGCCAACGAACATCACAGTTTTACATTTGTGTTTACATTCAGTGTCGTCGTCGTCGACCTACCGACCGACTGCATCTTAAGTTTCCTTTTTCCCGCCGAAACTGACGTTCTCGTTCCGGTCTTTTCCCAGTCAACAAGACATCGTCGTCGTGAAATTCGTCGTGGTTCTTACGTTTCCTAATATTTGCCTGATTTGCTCGCCCTCTAGCCTCAAACGTTTGAAAGATATAAATAAATGCAATCTCAACGCTATGAATCATCGCAAAGGTTAGTAAAAAATTATCATATTATGATTTCATTGCACTAGTTTTTGGAAACATGTGGCGTCTGTTTGTTTGATTTGTCGGCCGTAGGGAGGCTCATTTAAAAGTTTACTAGCGCATCGTTGCAAAACATTCTGCTTCACAAAGCTTAATTCCACAAAATCTCCTCTCTGGCATGAGCCACATCAACGTTTCAATGGTTTCTTTCTTACAGTCTTTATTGTTGCTGTTTCATTTCTGCGTGTTCCTTTCACAATTATCTGAGCTTGTATGGAAGCCCTGGCAGAAGTAATAAGCCTTCAATCGGCATCAAAGTGCTTCCCATCTTTTGGTTCTCCGGCCAACGGCAATAAAAGTAACGCCAAAAACTCCCGACTTCGCCGAAATCGAAACTTAACGCGAAAAATATATCATTGGTCTGAAATCCTGAGAAATTTTAGTGTAGTATTGAACTCGGCCAACCGCGATGCAAACGGATTTTTCAAGATTCTCTTACTCTCCTCGCATCTTTTGATTTCGCGACATCATGTCAATCTCGACCCAGAGCTCTTCTGCGCATGTAGAGAAGAGAGATCAGGACCTCTGGGAAACCCTGGTGCAAGATTGTCTCTGATTGGTTTCAGCAAAAAACAATAAAAGCGTTTCTGATAGGTCCATTCAAGTTTGCACGAGAGCGGTTGAACGTGCGGCGTGTCTGGCGTGTGAGCGGGTTTTTCCCTAGAAATGTTAAAGTCAACACAAGGATTCTTAGTTTCAGCGATTCCAAAACAACATTTGCAGGACTAATGAGGCAGAATTACTGGATTTTCCCATTTTCGAATAAAATAGCTTAGATAGCTACATATTGAAAATTGAACCAGAAAAGGATTTGAATGTGAAAAAAATTAAATAAAAATACACCGACATCTTTGCCAGCTATAATTTAAGAAGCATGACACACTACTGATTTTTCTTTGACTTCCAAGTTTAACGTATCTCTTAGTCACACGAAGTAGCCCAGTATGAATGAAAACTTGAGCATCTTGTCGTAAATTGCCCAAGAAAAAAAACATAAAAAGTAAATCGTTCCCTAAAGTGAAGCGTGTACAATGCGACTAGATATTTATAGTTGTCTTCTTTTCCTACGATATCGCATTTCAAAGCAGCTTCCATATTCATGAACAAACATAAATAAAAGGACGCTAAATTCATATTTTGGAAAGTTTTATTGGAATTTTGATACGTTTATCTCGACAAGCCATTCGGGTCTCACTTATCGCCTCGTGAATTAGTCCACAGAAATATTTAATCAACTGTCAAGCATACGCAAACTTCAAGTCTCAAATCTGTGATTGGGAACGTTTAACGATATTTTCTCAGCAGCTACCACAGAGAGCCTTGGATACCTGAAAATTCTTCAAGGCCGTAAGCTGAATTTCTTCAGTTCTAATACCGAAGCAGCACAAGGCTTTCGCGATGAAGTAGATATAAAAGAAGCAAAAAATTTTGGTTGGATTAAAGAGCATGCGCTGTGAGGCCCAAATAGCCAGATTTTGGCTACTCCGGCGCAGAGTTTCCCAGAGCTTACGCGCGCATTCCCAAACTCGTAAGCACTGGGTTCGAGAATGGACATCCTGTCCGAAATTCAAAGTTTGGTGCATGCGCAGTAACGGGATTCTGTTCCTGCAATAACACCAAAGACAATTTCAAAGGAATTGAGAAAACACAGGTAAAATCGTCATGCGTAAGTTTTCATTTTGTGAAATTTGAAGCTTTTGAAGTTTGCTTTCTCGGGCTCCCATAAGAACCTTTTCTTTCGCGTAATTTCACTGTCGGTTTTCACATGACGTCACCAAAATTCAACCTAAAAAACTATCGATCCTACCGGGATTTTACTTTCACGATGCATTAGAACAGCTGAAAACTAACTTTCATACAAATTTTCGCTTCAAAAGGGTTCTTGGTTTTGTAATAGATGTACGCTTGAATTTCTAAGCTTTTGCGTGAACGGGCATTTACATGACGGCTAAGAGAGGTGTCATGTATGTTAAAAAAATGACTTATTTGAGGAAATTTTGCTATCTAAACAGTTCATGTATTAGAAAAAGTATTACTTTAATGTTTATGAGTTTCTCGAAGAATAAATTCACGCTTTTGTAGCAAAACTCGGTAACAGATGTTTCTGTTGGTTTCCGTCCGCCATGTTGGAGCTCATCCAGGTGAGCACCAGCATGGCGTCTCCATACAAATCTCTATAGGTTTGGGTAAAACGTTTCTTTGGATATCTCGTGTACGAAATATGCCTCTGACCTGAATCTAGGCGAGGGTCTTTGTATATGTACCTCCTTTCATTTCCCAGATTCTGGACTTTATCTATTGAACGGGTTTGATTTTTATTTTGATCTATTTTGAATGTCGTGACACTGAAAACCAGCAATAACTTATTACATTTATATCCCTCAAAAAGTGTAACAAAAAGGATGCAATATGCTTTAAATTATTCTGGTGCAAGGTTTTTGTCCACTGAAAAATTACTTAATTAAAATTACTCAATTTCGCAATGGATTCCGTTTTAAACACTTATTAGGTAATTGCAATAAATTTGCATTAGATAAAAGTACAGTAAGCATCCTCAATAAAGAAAACAAATTTAAACCTTGTTTAACTGAACAGCTTTTAAACATGTTTGACCCTTTGCGTCGGTTAATTTTTAGGGAAAATTGGACCAAATCCTTCTTTTTGAAACGTTTTTCTGCCAGATAGCATGGGAATGGCTAGAAAAGATTAAGGACACAATTTCCTGATAATTGGATGTAAATAAGCAGCTTTTTTGTTTTCTACGCAAGCGTATACTGTATTTGTGCGGTTAGCTTGCGACGAAACTAAACTCTGGTTTGAACATTAGCTCACCGAGGTAAAAAATTACGTCTGCGACGACGGTCGCTTATTAAATTTTCACCATTTTCAGCAAGTGTAGTATCATGTTTGTTTTGCAAAAAAACAATAAATGGTAATAACAAAATGTGAAGATGTAACAAAGCAAGATTTCTGTAATATACCCTGAAGAAAACTCCGTCTTCGGGGAAGTCTCTTATTAGTCCTTATTCAATTTCAATTTCAATGTCATTGTCACTCAAGTCAATAAGTGAATTCTCTGGTGCTGCCTCCTCGATGTCCGTAACCTAGGGTGGGAGGGGGAGGGGGTGGTCGCTTATTCGAGGTTGGGTGTTTATTGATTTTTTCTTCCTTCAGGATGGGCGCTAATTCTAGGTTGGGCGCCTATTTGAACAAATACGGGAAGCCAAAATTTGAACTTGGCGAATCTATGTCGATTATTTTTTTCTCGATCTCTTCTTTTTCTCTTTGACTTTCTTTTCATAGCCATTTCTGTTGGGCACTTTATCGCCTTTCCTTCGGTTGAAATTTTTATTGGCTTTCTTTCCAGCAAAGAAAAAAATTTAATCAGTAAAGAGTAGTAGGTAAATAGCAAAATTGGCAGGGTTCTATCTAGGATTTATCGTTTGGGGACGATGTCCCGCCGAAGGCCACGAGCTTCCAAGGGGGATCCGTTGGCATGCCCCCCGGATATTTTTTGAAATGAATATGCGCTGAGATGAAATCTGGTGCATTTTGAGACACGATTGTGTCCTTAGATAGGGAATACATGTGCACAGACCTCGTCGCCTTTGGATGATTTTTTCCGATATAGTTACTTACATACTGTAATGATAACGTTATTTTTGGGTGGGGGAGCTTCTACCCCTCTAATACCCTAGATAGGACCCTTATTGGCAGTGGATTTTTCCCCAAGTGTTGCTTGTTTTTTGGTTGTAACTCTGTCAGGATTAGACAAAATGTGCTAAATGAGGTACCAGTGGAAAGTTCTATCCTCACTGATTGGGCTAATTACCTTCTTAATAGCTTAAATGGAAAGCTTAATCGGTCCAGGGAGAATAATATGCATGGGTCCATATGATCCAAAACGACCAAAGTGGACCTCAAAGAGTTAAGCTTTGGTGCAGCGAATTTATGACCACATTGAGACAACAACTCAAACGCGGTGAATTCTAACAATGAAAACGGCTGTTGTTTTACTGACAAAGTAGACAAGGTTGACATAAAACTAGAAAGGAAAATACGATGAAAATTCTTAATTATATGCGACGAGAAATGCACTAGGCAAACAAATATACGAATACAAACGTAACTAGAAAATACAAAGGGCGAAATAATAAACCAAATGAAATAAAAAACGAAAAGAAAGACTAATAGCTTGTGAGCCTATTATAGATACCATCCTTAAAAAAAACAAAATTCATCGCCAAACAAGCGAACGAAACAATTGTGACCGCAGAGCTAACGATCATGCACAGGGAGGATAAAGGTTGGGCGATGAAACGAGCGCGTCCGAGCAAAAAGATGTTATGCAGTGGACTGGGATTAAATTATGGATCAAAGAGACGGCACGACGGCTTTCGGCTTATGAGTTTAAAGGGTTTCGTTAATCGTTTGTCTCACGATTGTCACATAGATTGTGATCGCGACGTTTCCACGGCGCACTGCAGGCCTTCATCAGTTTTCCAACTCATAACAACAACTTCTGCGAGTTCCTCTCAAGATCATGATGCCTTGTGAAAATACATCAAAGATTTCCAAAGTTCGCAAGACTTATCAAAACGTGACAGCCTTTTACTAAACCTACCAACAAGCTTCTCGGATTTCGCCAGCAAAACGTGCACTTTGTAACTAAAATCCAAACCATCCTTCTGGAATTCTTACGAACATTTCGTAAGCTAGCCAATTATGTGGGCTTGAAAAATCGTGGGTCTTTGTTCCGACTGATTGTCAAGAACGAATAAATGTACAAATATTGCACTGTCTTTTCTCTCTCAAACCATGCAAAAAAAACTAGACGAATGTGGCGTGTTTGTAACCAACCAATAAAAGCGTTTGCTTTTCTATGCCGCCCATTAAGAGAGCTTGGCACTTAATCACAACCCAAACTTCTTCGTCAAACTTTGTTTCTTGGATAGTATTAAGCTGTTCGTATATGGAGATAATATGAATGTACGTGAAAAGTTTAGAGAATGAGTGGCCCCTCGTTTGGACCGTTTATCTTATTGTGTTTAAAGAGAGGAAAACTCCACCAGGTTAACTTCGGTTTACACCACAGTTGCCGGATTTGCGAAGCATTGCACGACTCGCCATGGAACGTTGCAGGCACCCGCTTGGGGGAAAAGTTTGAAGTAGTACAACGCCACTATATCCCAATATATCCAGCTAATTTTTTGTAATGTTATGTAAAATGTATCCTCCTTTAACATATATAAAACTCACGGATGAGTAGTGTTAAGATTTTGCAAACGAAATGGCGAAAGACGATTAGGTCATATTTAGCGGCAGGATGAGGCAGTCAGCACTTTCAATTTGAACTTAAATTTTAGCATTATACGACCAACAAGTTTCACTTTAAGGCATACAGACATAAACATATGAAACTGTTTATTAATATTTATTAAGAATTTATCTATTGAACACTGTAGCCTGAAATTACGGAAAGAAAATAGGATTTCCGGTTTTCAAAAAGGAAAATTTCACCGGCCTTTAAGCGCACCGGAAGCGCGGAAAGAGCGCTCGTGCCAGTCCTACTCCTCATCACACATTACTTGAAGAGCGGGAAAAGGAGAAAATCCTTAAATAACAATGACCGAGACCAAATTGTATGAGCCCGCGAGACTGAGCAACCCACCCAAACCCTTGTTTTCACTAAAAACAGCTGGACGCCAAACTGGTTGATGTCATTGTTGTCTAAGGTCTTCCGAAGAGCGGAGCGCTCGTTTCATTGCCCAACCTTTATCCGCCCTGATCATGCAACTTAAACTAACGGCTTGCTCACCTGACCAAAAATGGCATGAAAATTTACCCTACCGCGCGGGCCGGGGTAGGCCAGCAGCTACAGAATGGGTGATAGTTTATTCTCTCACTTGGTACATAGTAGGCTATTTATACCGATCTTACCTCCACTCCTTTGAGTAATGGAGGACTGGCGGCCACTTTCATATGCAGAGGCAAGCGTTAATATAACGAGGGAGGGAAGGGCGGATTTGAAAATGACCAGAGGGAACGCTGTTCAGGCAAGATAAGACAGGCCACAGAAATCACACGAGCATATGCATACCGAACGACTTCTTGTTCGAATTGATAATTGATTCAACGTGGTAAATCCCTTTAGACCGCTGTAAATACTACCCCAACCTAAACCTATGCCCCTACGAGGAAAGAATTATGATAGAAGGCGCTTCTGGGGAGACGGCGCGAGACTAGGGAAAGCAATAATAAAGTCCTTAAGGGAGTCGTATCTGGAGTAAAGATCTGCCACCTCAGTCACAGCTGGAGAATCCTGGGCGAGAAGATCAGCAGGAGCACCCGCACTGTTGACGTTAGCCAGCTTGCGATTGTCCTCAGCTGTAGCGGGAGAGGACCATCCTACATGCGTCAAGAGGTCAGCCAAGGCGGAGCCAGAGAAGGCCAGTGTGAGGGCACACCCTGAGCGGAAGCTATGAAGAGTCTCCGCGGCGTCAGTACGGGCCTCTTTGAGATATAACTTTAATCGATGTTCAGCAGCAGCACTAGAGAGAGGCCTATTAACAAAGTGCCGTGTTTCGTCGGTAGGGCGAAATGAATAACCTTTAGTGAGACTAACACCCAATCTTCCTGCAAAGGTGACATACTCCTCTTTGGCTCTAACAGGACGAGGGGCGGACTTAGGGTGCCACCGCAGACCAAACAGGTTCGAAGCACCATCTCGGAGGGTTTTCCCCCAGATGCAATTAATGAGAAAACCACTGTAATCGGGGAAGCGCGCAGTTTCAGCCGTTATCACCTGCCAAGACCCCCTGCCCGGTCACCAGAGTAGAGTAAGGTCTTGAAAAAGGCCTTATCGCTAGCGGTAACAAACTGTTCCGAGGCGTTAAGGGTAGGCAAAGCAAGCCTCATCTTGAGGTGGTTAGAGAGCAGCAAAAGCTTATCGGAAAAAAAACGGAGCCTTCTTGGGAGTGACTCGCGCCTGAAACTGCTCACCGGTAACTTGCTTAAGATAGATCTGAGTCGTCAGTTGCAGGATTACCCAGGAGGAGGGTGCAATTCCAATCTCCTTGACGACCAGCTTCGGCAAAAATGGAGCGCAGTTTACCAACATAGGAATCTACGGTAGAATACGCTAGTCGACGAGGACATCCGCAGCAAAGAAATCCCTTTCTTACCAGTGTGGGGACAACCATTCTTGTAGGGCTGAGTCTTTAGCGTCCTTAAAAGCGACGGTCAGGAAATATCGACCATCGAGTGACAAGAGTTGAAAAATCTATTTCCTTCATTTTTTGTCCATAAATAGCTTTTAGGTAGATCAGTAATCTGATGTAAGTTGTTCTCGCAAAAAGCCTTTTATTTTCGAGAAAAGTAAGAATATCATTTTTCGTGGTCGGAGTCTCAAAATGGCCGTATTTTCAACTCGAAATTTGCTAATATCAACTCTCCTCGCGTTCGCAAAAAACTGAGCCGCAACGAGAAATTTGGGCACTTTCCATCAATAGAACAACTCTTCTTCTTTCATTGAAAGATACTTTCAAAGCAATATCGAAAGTTGTTGAACTGACATAATTAAAAAACGAAGAACAAGTTTTTACGGTGACAAGAACCTTAATTTAGTAGTTGTTTTCTGCGGCATTATTCTTCACGTGGTATGGCTCCAAATTTCCCAGTTCTCGTTTATTCACACATTTAGACATTCATCTAAAACATACCTGAGAATTGGCTTGGGTTCCTGAAGGCAGCCTCCAAACGAAAGCATCGAAGACCGGTATACATAGTGAAGAGTGACCAAAACCACTTATTTCACTGCTACAGGTTTCCTCGATCGTAAAGTACTAAACAAGACGAAATATCTTCCTGTTCCTTCATCCTTAGCGAATTACCATTGTTAAAGTCCGTATTTTTTGATAAAAAGTGAGCACCAGAATACTAGCGCGTTTGATTTTTTTGTCCTTCGAAATACTGTCGGCATCGAAAATGTTAGTCTTTTTCAAGAATTGCGTTGTGTTACTATAGTGATTCCGTGACTGTCATTTTGACGGCTCCGTCTCTTCAAACGTACGTCATGTCACGTGCAGTCACGGAATAGATTGTCACGCAGAGTCATGGCGTAAGAAGATAAGGCGTTGAAACGAGCGGGATTGAGCGATCTAGCTGTGATGCAAGGGTCTCGGTACTACCAAAGAGACAAAACAAGATGGCGGACATTATCCTAGACCGTCAGAGACATTCTCCAGCGAAAGTTAGCCATTTTCCCGTGGCATTCATTTGCTGCAAGCAATAGCGAAGGAACAAATTATTTTTTTATCACGTTTGTTTTCTGTTTTGTTCAATTTTTCCCCCGTGAACAAGTATCTGTATTGAATATAGTCCCACCTCCGTGACCTGTATTAAAATTTCGTGACTTGGTAAGAAAATGGCATCACAACTCAAATGATAGCACTGACATCATTTTTAGACTAATATTATCGGTTCTCTACTTCAGTTAAATATCAAGTTGTGTAATTCATCATCTGCTATGGCATTTATTTTTTGCTGCCCAGTTTCAAGGCCAGATGGTCTATTTTCACTATTATTATCTTTTCAGATGGTGTAATTCTTGCTGCCTAGGCCCATCGTTGCATTGAAGAACAGATAATTTTGACTGTAAACTTGCCTCTCGATGATTCCTCGTCGGTTTCGTTGCGAATTCTGTTGACGGCATTTTGCTGAAACATCGGCAGTCGGTGTTCCCTCTCTTCGTCGGCTTTGTTTTCAGTGTAATTGTAGTATTTTGTTGCTGCCTCTTTACATCCTCTGTGTTTAGTTGACAGCGTTTGCCTTCGCTGCGCTGTTGTTCGCCCCAGGAGTTTAAGATGCTTTCCGTGAACGAAAGCAGAACATTTGAAAGCGCGAGGACTTCCTTTGCATTGATATCAAGGTGGCGCTGACAGGAAGGCCAATAGTTATGAATAGGAATAGGCTGAGCGGCGAGGTTAAAGATACCGCCCCCGCAAAGGACGAGGCATCCACACACAGGATGATCTGGTGATGGAAATCCGTGCGCCAAGGAAGTACAAACATTAACCACAAGGGACTGCAAAGGACCGCAAACGAATATGCCGAAGAACGTAGGATCTATAAAGACCTGATCAGCAAAAATAATAATGAAGACATATTAAATTCTGCAAGCAGAATACTGCAATGCTGATCGTACTACGTGAAAATGAACTCTGCAAGACATCAACACGACACCGAAAGAACTCAAAACAGACCAGGATTGTAGCCATAGACAGCTGTTTCGCCCTCTATGGGGCTCGTCAGTATGGCGTAAAAAACAGAGATCAGGCTCTGATGAAAAAATATCCGCGCACTCTGATTTTAGCCCTGACCCATTTTTGGGCCGTAGATCTTTTATGGATCCGATATGCCGTAATTTTTGCATGGTTTTGCCCATGTCTTTTAGGTTGGTTTTGGCCAACTATTTATTTTCTCTGTGAGACATCAACTTGACACTTGGACTCTTGCCCCCCAGAAGACACGTGGTATTACGCGATTCTGTGGGTGTTAGGAGTTCTGGGTCAGGGCTAAAATCAGAGTGCGCGGATACTTTTTCATCAGAACCTGATCTCTGGTTGTTACGCCATACTGACGAGCCCAAAGAGGGCGAAACAGCTGTCTATGGCTACAATCCCGGTCTGTTTTGAGTTCTTTCGGTGTCGTGTTGATGTCTTGCAGAGTTAGTTTTCACGCAGTACGATCAGCATTGCAGTATTCTGCTTGCAGAATTTAATATGTCGCCAAGGAAGGAAGCCGCTCCAGGTTTACAAAGATGTCCAGTGCTGGATTTCCGACTTCAGAGGACCAGAGATACGGATTGGTCTAGACGACCGAATCCCCGTACTGATAGCAAGGATAATTTCGTTAAGAAACAGTCGAGGGCCCGAGACAGCCAGGGAAAAGGAAATGCATTTTCCTGAGAGACGTTGCAACTTTTTGTCAGTAATGTCAGAGGCAGAACGTTAACTTTTGCCGCTTCTCCTCAAGGAGAAGGAAAGCTTGCTTACAGGAGTCGACCAAAAAACTCAAGTATTGAACTACCTCACGGGGAACAAGAATAGTCTTCGCCAGGTTAATATAATAACCCAAACACACAAGAGTGAGACAAACAATGAAGCTAGCCGAGGAGGCGAACGCAAAAGATCGCGCACGATCTGAGGTAAAAAGCGCAAAGGTAGGAGTCGGTAAAGGAAGCTTAAGCTCTCCTGTATGTCGATTGTCTATGTACGTACAAAGAATAAGGAATAGAGACACTGCGAAAATAATGCACGGCAAGAAGACCAATAGAATGATAATTGCAGGTTGAGGATTTCCACCCGAAAGGTATAGTGTTACTCCCAAAATACCAGCAGGCTGCTATGTGGGCGTATCTGGCTTCAGCTAAACATAACGCGGGAGAGCCGCAATGGAATCTAGGTTGACTGGAGTATCCTTTACCCAAAGATTTAGAAAGCGGTTATCATTACATAATCTTGGCTTAGTAGGTTCAACAGTTAGCGGCATAACTAAATGGGGTGGCAACCTCACCGACCCTTCCCCAAACAGAGATAGCCCCAGGAGCTAACCTATCGAGTATAGTACGGGATATAAATCTAACAAAAGGTTTACGGGAAATTGAATTATAGAAAACTCGATGAGGAGGGAGATCAGAATTATAAGACTGTCCCTTGTAATCTCCCTTAAAGGGAAGAAAACCTAGTGCTCGTCAACCCTATGCCCACTCCACTTGAGAGCGTCCTGTGCACGGTCGTAAGGGGCGACAGAAGCAATGCGTTGCCATGAAGGAAGGTAACCATGGCTATTACCGACCATAAACGCGCTTGGGTCTCTAAAAGCGAGCATTGAGATATCTGCTGTTTTGGAGCCATTAAGGACATCGTTAACGAACTTAGGAGAAACATGCGAGTTATCGGGGGCTGCCATCCCCTGAGTCACGTCTAAAGGCATACGTACCCTTATGATCAACCCAACGCTGACGGGGACCAGAGTAGCCCAACGGGTAGAAGTCGTCTGATAACTCCCAGTCCGGAAAGGAATAACGACTAACACGGAGGCGCTTAAAAGGAGGCTAAAAGAACAAAATAAAGAGGGGATATGAGAACGCTAAAGGATAGACCTGACGGGCCTCAGGGAATGGCAGTATGGAGGCCAGGTAATCCGAGAGGGAATAAGACTCGCCTTACAAAACTGCCATTCCTAGAGTGGAGGGAACAAAGAAATATGAAACTAAAAGAGTGACAGGCATAAGAACTTTTTCCAATAACACAGGCCATTAACTATTGTGACCATATCGTGCCGGCTGTCTTCTCCTGAAACAATAGGGAATTTAAGATCCAGAGACGCTACGGCAACGAGAACGTCGCTTAAAAAGTGAATTTGCGTTCTTTCAGTCTTCATAGAGATTATTCCTACCCACTTACTTTGTCAAATGTAGGCGAAACCCTCCTGAAGCTGAATTTCAAGTGACCATATCCAAGCTCAGAAAGAGAAATAAAATTTCGTCGTTGCTTGTTTACGTCCTCCATAAAACGCGAATTTAAGCTTTTCACGTTGTAGTCGTGCAAAAACGGGAAAGAAATGTACAAAAAAGTGTGATGCACGTTCAAAGTTGTTGTTTTGCCTATTAAACCTATTGCTTTTTGATGTTCTCGTTGCCGTACGCGTCGTTGGATCTTAAAGTCCCTAATTAGCTGCCGTGTGCCCAAGGATGCCACAGGAAAACCATCTCAATCGGTTAGGGCGAGAAGTGAGGCGCGCAGGCTGGGTGGAGGCTTGGGAGGGTGCAGGGGCCGCCTTCTTATGGCCTTTGTTGACCTTAGGCAAGCTGTCCAACATCTTCGTGTAATCTGTATCCTAGAAAGTGCCAGAAAGTATGCTTGAAGGCGCGGACAGAGGCCTTGAACTCCAACGTCTAGGAACGAAACCTTCTCGTGTGACAAACGGTGGGTCTCTCGGGCAACACTTTCAGCCATAGACAAGGCAGTGTACTTGTCAAAGTCCGATGCACTTCGCAACCCATAGGCTGACAGCCTCGCCAGTTGGAAATCAGAATCCTCTTTGGACTGGCCCTCCAGAGATTCAATCGGTTTAATAAGGAGTTGATCCATAGGCAAACAGATAAAAGAAATTGAAGCTACATAAGAATGAGTACATCGACATACCTTAAAACTCTCTGCGTAACAGTAAAACGAAGCAAAGAACTTCACTGCTATAAACAGAGAGAATGCCTGCCCATACCAAACTGCAAGCCGAATGAAAATTATAGCAGCAAAACGTATTTAATGGACGACAAATGATTAATGTAATTCTTGTTTAAATAAATGATAAGAACCTATTTTACTTACAAGAATGAGATGGTATAAGAGAAACGCGCAGGGAAGAAACACGAAAAGGAGACAAATCAAAATATAAACCGAAACAAATTGGAATTTGCACTATAAAACTTAACAAAATAATCATAAACAACAACTGCAAGGTGACTAAGATACGCAAATAACGAACAAGTGCGAAAACCTCGCACTGTAAACCGCACGAAAACAGAATTTTAAATAAGGTGGGGAGAACGCAGTCAATGTTCAGAGGAACAATGCCACAAGAACAAAATCTAAATCAAAACAAAATTGTTTCTCACAGTGTGAGAAAACAAGAAAAACGGGAAATATGTAAATGCTGCTGTGGAGCCATAAAATACCGACACTATCAGAGAGCAGTAATTTTAGCGACAAACAGCCCTATAGGTAATTGTATTTTAACGCTCTAAAGAGTAAGGAATACAAGCAAAGATTACAAGAAGCAGCTTCTGTTCTGGATCCAGAAAATACGGACAAAGACAGAAATTAATAACTGTGGCGAAATGAAGCCCCCACCTAAACAGCAAAACGCTAGGAAGAGGCATTGCTTGCACAACGACTTATTGTTGGAAGTGATAATTAATAGTCCAGTTTCGAATAAAAAATCACCGCTGAATACAAACATTAACGACACATTCGTACAGGGTTAGCCTCGACGTAAAGTAAAATATTCAGAAATTCTGGCAAGTAGGTGTTTGAAATTTGAATATACACAATAGACAGAGTAATAAACAGGTCTTTTTCTCGTTGGAATTTGTGAATATATTACTCCAGATGAAGGCTAATGCTGTAAAAAATGCGTCTTCACTTCTTTAATTCAGCGGTCATAGCGAACTCGAAAATGGGCTATTCAACGTGACAAATCGTTATACATCGTTTTGGGTAAGACCGCTGTAAATAGTGAGTGTGAACATCTTCTACACATGCACACATTTCTCCCACTCTACGCGAATACAAAGAGTGAGATTCTAAACCCCAAAGTAATTTTGAAGGATCACACTTAAAATACCGTTATTTATCCGCTGGAAATTGTCAATTTTCAAAAGCTTAATAAGCATTTTTACCAAAAGGGGTTAATTTCATATATCTTATCAGCAAATAGATCTCATGTTCACATACGGTATGCTTGTTTTCTAGACTTGATGACCAAGATGACAGGGCAGCTCCAGTTGATATCGTCGAATGCACAACGGAGCCCACTGCATATGATCACCCGACCAATAGCAAGATAAAGTTCTGGGATTTACCTGGGATAGGGACTCCAGACTACCCTGACCTAGATACATACTGCAACAAAGTACAGCTGGAGAAGTACCACACTTACCTAATTTTCACAACCAGTCGATTCCGCGTGAACGACTTGAAATTAGCAGAAAAAGTGAGATTGATGAAAAAGAAATTTTTCTTTATTCGCACAAAAATTGATGAAAATATTCGAGCTGAGAAGCGAAAGCGAAAGCAAGAATTCGACGAGGAAGAAATGCTGGCAAGAATCCGAAAAAACTGTTTTATTTCTCTAGGTAACCTGCTGACTGACGACCAAGATATATTTTTGATCAGCAACCATGACCCCGACAAGTGGGAATTTGCTAGACTGACCCAGGCCATTCTAGATGCATTGACGAGATACCAGCGAGAGAGCATGACCTTTTCCCTTGGGAAAGTCATAACAAGGTCGTCAGATGATATTTTTCAAAGAAAAGTCGATGCTCTTAGACAACGCATATGGAAGGTTGCTACAGCATCTGGTGCCGTTGCTGCCATTCCAGTACCGGGACTGTCCATTGTTCTTGACGGTGCCCTAATACTGAATGAACTCAGCATGTACAGAAGTCAGCTTGGCCTTCCCGAAATCGGATCTGCTGAATTTGTCAAGCTACACGTCGCCACTAAAGAAAAAGTACTCAGTGTCACCCTTACCACTGCTGCACAGTTGAGCACATATTGTGCATCTTATGCTGCTTCTACAGCCATCGAGGAATTCACTCGTTATATTCCCTTTGTCGGTCCGGCCATAGCCAGTAGTATGTCGTTCAGTACTACGTATTACGCCCTAAGTAAGCTCTTAACAGATGTTGAAAAAACAGCGAAGGTAGTTCTACAGGAGGCTGCCAAAAAGACAGCTGCGGATTTGGAAAATGAGGTTGATTGACTTTCGTGCTACGCATGACTTGGCTGCGGCTATTTCTAATTCACCTGATATGATTCATAGAATCTAAGTTCTCAAACACTTGATCTATATGAACTTGTATGCGAAACTCTTATTCGTCAAATTCCTCTTTTAAAATACCACCCATCAAAACGCACCTGCCTTGCAAAAATCTGGTTGTTGCAGGTTACAAAAAGTTGTTTAGAGTAGTTCTTCCAAAAACCGTGGCTGTAGGAAAAGGAAACAAAAGGTCGTGGTCGCTAGTAAAGGTTCAAGGGCCTCAAAGGACATCTTCTCAGTTGATGTTGCTGTGTATTAAATAACAACGCCCATTCAAGAAGATAGCCCTGGGATGACGAAATGATAAAGTGCAACACGTCAACAAGCAAATAATGGGATTATCACAGAAAGGTCATTATCAATGAAATAACGAGCGAAAAACACAAGGGTTTTTCTAATGTTTTCTTAAAAACCAACAAACAACCAGAACAGACAAAAACACATGGCCTTGATAAAACTGTGTTAAAAACGTCAATTTTGACAGGTCATATATCAACATACATGTATCCGTATTAGTATGTAGTCTACGAAGAATATATACAGCTGTTTCGGATATTAACGCGACCTGCGAAAAAAGAAACGTCGTTGGATTTTGGGTTTTTCTGAGACCTCAATCAAAATCTGACGGCTCGGAGCTTTCTAGCGGACCTCTTAGAAAACAGACGTTTACTTCACGAGTTCAAAAGGTCATGTTTTGTGATTTGTGATTGCTGGATTTCGATCCGTTTTGGGCGTGTTCGCCTTAGTTTTGAACTTCAGAAATCGCGTGTTTTTGAAAAGCGCAGAAATTATTTCCGCTCTGTGCCTTGTCGATTGGGAGAATTTGTGCTTTAATGTTTTGTTAGGTGATGTACACTTTTCACGGTTTAGCTCTCAAGTTTTTTTTGCTTTCTTGATTCCCCAGGGGCACCCAACGGCAATTTTCGGGAAAATATCTGTTCGGAAGACTATTTGAGATCTAGAATTTTGGAGCATTTGTTGCAAAATTTCTTGCTTCCCTGCCTCTCCTAGGATTTTCGAACATCTACAAAATGGTATAATTACCCATTTTTAACGGATTTTGACCCTAAAAAAGGCCCCAAAGAATTTTCGGGAGCCTTTCCTGGCTGAAATTTTCGAGAAGGTAAGTTTTTATCCCTATAATTTTCGGATCACTAGACTTTCAGCTAGGAAATCCGAACAGATGAAAAGTTTTTAGGGGATAAAAATATACCTATATCTACCGTTTGAATACTAAAATACGTTCAAAAATGCTATGTTGAGTGGTTTTGAACTGTATCCGCGTTGGGTGCCCCTGATTCCCAAGGTAAAATTGTTCAAATCCAGAAGAAACACAGATATGGGAGGGTGAAAACGAATCAGTAAGCCAACAGTTAATTCTGCAGCTTCTGCTCGTTATTGCCGCCTTTATTTGACAAGCAAGGATTAGGCTCTATGCTAACGGTTTGATGGACGTCCAAGAAAAGCCCAAAATCCTGAAACGCGGGTCGCGTGACCGTGTTATCCGAAACAGCAGTAAATAAATATTACTTGCAAGTCTGGTAAACCTCCAGGGTTGTGCAGCAGCTGAGGCTGATAAAAAACTAAGATCCTTTAGGCTCTTGTAAGGCAGACCATTCCTTGCTGAAATACCTTAACATACAGTGTATTGGAATAGCCGTCATTATACAGTTCAATTTGAACGCTCATTCTTATTTTCTAAATAATAGTTTAATCTAATAAGAACCTACATTTTTCCAAGTTACCCTAAAGAGGTTCTTACATAAATGGTAATTAGCACAAATTTAGGCTATTTAGGTTCTTAAATAGGTTCTGGGGTTCTTATTTTCTGAAGAAAAAAAAATACGTTGTAGCTACGAATATATACTCTGGTGTGTTCAGCTCATTCCTTGCCTAAAATCTGAATACCATTACATTGCAGTTGGAGTAATAAGGCACCTATGTCTCCAAAGAGGATCCTGAATGTTAAATTATCTTATTTTCTCAAGTATACAGAATTCTATCATAGATTTTAGAAATAAATAAGACCCTTTTTTTAAATTTTGCGCTTAACCGGTTCTTGTATAGAGGGGGCCTTTAATACGGGCAACTTTCAGCCTATAAGGTTCTTACAAATCACGTTCTAAGCCGCGGGTTTTTACTGTATTTTTGTTCCTTGCCTAAATGTAGCTATTCTCCTAGTCACCTTATTTACATCATTTGTTTTAAGTTGCATTTTTTCCTACAAATTTCCTTTAGCTAACAATACTTGCTACGTACGGGATGGTAACCCCGGAATTTTGTAGGGAGGTAATTCACTCCCAACTAGCCTTATTTGTTTTGGGGTAATCTTTGAATTTCCTCAAATCTACTCTGAATTATTGGTAATGCAACCAAAATTTGCTCACTACGTTCAGTTGCCAATTCTCACTTGGTTTGTATGATTAGAGTACCAGCCCTCAAATCAAAAAATTTTCAAGCCTCCCCAATGATGTGTAGTTATTAATAGCCAGCTTATCATCTAGTCTCATTTCAATAGCTTTTCTGTCAGATTCATTTACCTGGTTAACATCCATATATATAAGTCTGTGGTAGCATGTAACTTGTCTGTTGAACATTTTGCTGGAAAGTAAAAAGCAATAAAACTGATTTATTGTTACTGTTATTGCCAGTTACTGACGAAATGTTCTTGACGGTGACTGGCATTACAACAATCTGTGTGGTAGTCATCTTCATGCAGAAAGTTAAAGTGAGATGTATCAACTCCATACTGAGTTTAAAAACTCTCGTTTGACCTGATTGGTCAATTAGCTAATGATGTTTTGGCTGTCTGTCAGTCATGCCGTCATGTTATTGGCTATGAAGACTCTGAAATGTCATTTGTGTGTTTCGACCCGTGTCCAGTCATGCATGTCATTGTCAGTTTTGCTTGAGTCTATTAATAAGTGGTGCAGGGGTATCTTGCAGAACATCAAACAGCCCCCGAACGCCGACGTTAATGTTGGCTGCAGCCCATGCAGACTGTGTAGACTAAGTGTTTCTTTTGTTTACTTGTGCATGAATTTTTCTTGCTTGACATAAATAAATTCAGTAGTTCACTAGACTCCTGCTTCTTTTTGTTACACCTCTGTGCACCAAATTAAATGTGTACCGGCCATGGCTAAATGACATAACCACGGGATCATGTTAAATATAACAATCAGTCTGCATGGTCTGCATAATTATCAATACTACTGAAATGCCGATGACTCTCTGAAGTTTAGTGTTTAGGAAACTGGGTAAATCGATCAGGCTTCAGATCAGTTTGTCTAGTTATAAGTGAACCTAAATATGGAACCTGATTTATTCACTTTACTACTCCTAATCACTGAACTTCGGAGTCATTCTGCACTCAGTGCCCATTCAACATTCTGCAAAAATACCCCTGCCGATCAATGCTTCGTTTGTATCACCCCATGCAAGGGAATCTGGATTCCAGAATCCAGAAAATTCTTGCTTGCGGATCCAGAATCCTAGAGTTTGGAATCCCACTAACAATTGGAATCTGGAATCAAAGTTCCACTGATAAAGAATCCAAATCTAGTACCTGGAATCCGGAATCCATGGTGTGGAATCCACAATCAAAGATCGTCTTGCCTTACAAGGCTCTTACACTGATGGGGTGGTTTGTATGGTGCCAGCAGTAACAATTACTGGCACCATTGTAAACAAGAATAATAATATAGGAATTGCAGAATCAATTTACCTTAG